CCTCCTACTCGCCCGACCCCGCGTGGGGTGCCGCACCCGGTTACACGTCGCCGAACTCGCAGTCGCACGGCAACAACGGCCTGTCACACAGCCTCTCGGTCGGATCGACCAAGGTGGGCGCTCCGACGGGCTCGCAGTCTGGTCACGCCAAGGAGTCGCACGACGGGCACGGCGCAGGACAGTACGGCGGCTATCAGTCGCCTCCACTTGGAGCCACGTCACCACAGCAGTACCCGCAACACTACCAGGGCTACCAGCAGCAGCAGCCGCAGCCGCCGCAGCAGCAGCAATCGTACGGCTACGCTGGTCAGGATGACCGCGCTGGCTCGCCGCAAAGCATGCGTAACGACAGCCAGAACGGTGCCGGTGCCGGCGGTCTCCACCTCGCCAACCCTTAGACTGGCGTCTTTTTCATCTCATCATAGCTGGCGCCTATTCCCTGCGGGTCTTCATCGCTGTCTGCACGGCTGACTGCAAATTAATCGTTGCTGTCGTGCAGAGGCAGACCACAAGGCAAAAGACACGTCTGCGGTGCATCTCCTCCTCGGTTTCTAGCATATTCTCGCATCTTTACCACCACCATCTACATCTGCCGTTCGGTCCGATAGCATAGACACTCTATTCGAAGTTTCACTCTCGTTCTTGCCAAGAGACTCTCGTCCCTTTCTGCTTTGGTCTTTACTTCGCTCCTTGCTTGCTAGTTTGTCATCCATTCTTTGATCTGCCATGACCCAATACCGCTCGATTGTGTCAGTGTCGCCTGCACTTGAGCGTGCATCTATGCCGATGTCAGCTCTGATGGAGCGCGACGGAGCCATCTACTTGGACCGCCGCCTGAGAATCAGTAATCGACGTCTCAAAAGGATGCGAGACAGATGAGATACGCTGGCGCAGATAAAACGCATCTTTTGATCCTCTCTTGCCTGGTTAAAGTGCTGGTGATGCGTTTGGGAAATTTGAGCTGGTACAAGTACATAGAATTGAAAAGTTGAGTGACGAAGACACAAGCAATGAGAGAGTCGAAATGGAGGATACAGTCCTCAATCGCGTTCCAGATCTGCACAAACGAAAAAAGCCAAAATCAGGAGGTGCGCGTAGAAACGGTCAGCTTTCAGATCTCGATACAACATGAGCTTGACCTCGAAGAGATCGACTGCAGGGATGAGGTGGAAGAGTGAGAGGCCAACGTACTGATATTGTCACCAAACTTGCCGTAGAGCTTCACCTTGAGCTGCTTCATCTCGTCCTCGTAGCGTTCGAGCTTGTCTGCGAGGTCGTCGATGTCTTGATTGATCTGGGTCTGGTCGGAGTCCAGGCGTTCGAGCGCATCGCTGTGTGGAAGGAGAACAAAGGTGTCGGCGATGCGGTAGAGAATCTTTTCGTCTTCGTCTGCAAGCTCGAGCTCCATGGAGAGATCGTCGAGCGCCTCCCGTTCCTCTTTCTTCAGTCGCAGGTCCTCGACCAGGTCCGAGTAGGTGGAGTTGAGCCGCGAAAAGGCATTGATCGACTGCTGGTCCTCCCATGTCACTTCGATCTCGTTTGATGATTCCTCTGATGAAAGCTGTGTGGTAGAGGTGCATAGGAAGGGTAGGGACGTTGATCAAGTCAGAGCTACTGTGGGCAGTTGAAAAAAGGCTCGAACGATGCCGGATTCTTACCATGCGCATTTTGGGCTGTGCAGAGGCGTGAAGCCAATGTGATCAAAGTGCCGAGCGAGAGTATTCGGTTGAAGCAGTTGTGGTTGTTGCAAGGCGGGTCTGGAGCAGGTGTTGGTGCTTGCAAGTGATCAGTGAGGAGAGGGTGCGTGATGGGTCGGAAGAACAGGAAATTGATCAGCACGGGTTGCGGAATTGGAAGCCCTCTGTTACGCACGCGCCTTCGCAGTGCATTCATTCACACAGCCAAACCAGGCAAGCACATGTTCAGTAAGTTACTGTAGTAGGCACGAGACAAAGATCAACACACCACACTGCGGCAGTGCCTCCACTTCCTTCCAAACGTCCGACGTGTGACCTGGGCACGCACCGCCGCCTACTGTAGCGTGGTACTGTACATTACTATACTCTGCCTCCTTCTTACCTTCTTGCTAGCTTGCTCGATCCGCATGGACCCCGAAGCTCCTTTTCTTGGCCTCACGCCTTGACCTCGCTCCTCCGCTCCGTTCACCATCGTCGGATCTGGCTGTCTCACAATCTTGCTACGGAACGACTGACCTCGCCCATGCAGTAAGGCGCTCAAGATGGCGTAACGCAGCCAGGGTCCAATTTCTGGCTTCCCATTCGATCCTTATTTTTACGGCTTCGGTGTTCCGCACTGCTTTCCAGTCTTTCCAACGCGGTTCAAGTTGCCAACCATGTTGCTTTGGCTCATCTTGCTCGCATTTTGCGGCACGCTGATCCCGCTGGTCGGGCTGTTGTGCCTCTGCATCTACATCGTCCTCTACCGTTCCGTACGCGGAACGACGTCGGCCAAATCGAGACTCGGCAGATCCGCAGCCGTGGTGGTGCTGGGCGACATTGGTCGAAGTCCACGAATGTGCATGCATGTCGAGTCACTTGCCAACGAGGGCTGGAAGGTCGCCGTCATTGGATATGCTGGAGTCTCGGTACCCGCACCATTGCGACGACCAAGTGTGCGACACCATCACCTCCGAACGCCGCCATCGTGGATCGGACGCCTGCCACGCAAAGCATTCATCCTCGTGGCACCCTTTAAAGTACTCTTACAGAGTGTTTCGCTCTTTTTAGAACTCGGCACACGCGTCCAGCCGCCTCCCGAGATTGTGCTGGTGCAGACGCCGCCAGCGCTGCCAACCCTCTTTATTGTCAAGGCGGTCTCGATTCTGATCAAGGCCAAGGTTGTCATCGACTGGCACAACCTCGGGTACACGATTTTGGCATTGCGTATGGGCACAAAGTCGCCACTAGTACGGCTTGCAGAGCGGCTAGAACGATGGACGGGTCGTAACGCATATGCCCATCTCTTTGTTACGGCAGCCATGAAGAATCACCTCAGTCTCAAGTGGCGCCTCGAGGGCAAAAAGAGCGTCTTGCACGATCGACCACCGGCTCACTTTCGCCGGAGCACGGTTGCAGAGACGCACAATCTGCTCTGCAAGCTCATGCCGACACTGCAGCCATCAGTGGGAGCCGACTTCTTGCCCGAGCACGAGGTCCCGCGATCGACCGCCTTCACACGTCTGCAGACCGCAGCAGCCGGACAGCTCGAGCTGCGACCCGAATCGCCGTCTCCGGCTCGCAATGCACCGCCGTCCTTGCCAGCTGGCACCCTACAACCGCAATGGCGAGAGGATCGTCCAGCACTGGTCGTAAGCAGCACCTCGTGGACTGCCGACGAGGACTTTGGTCTGCTATTGGCAGCGGCGCGCATCTACGAGCGCCGAGCCCGCTACCTAGCCGACCCTGCATCGCGAACGCATTCCCGCAACTCGACGAACGGCGATTCTGGCTCGAGTCTCACTCCCGTTTCGCCAGCCTCTTCGACGCAGCACGGCTTCTCTTTTGCCTCTTTGGGATCAGATACCGAGACAGCACGCACCAGCAAGGAGCGTCGACGTCCGTCGCTGGGTGCATTGCGCTCGGCAACTTTGCCCAACGAGCCTGCGACTACACTGCCCAAGATTCTGATTCTGGTCACAGGCAAGGGCGAGCTAAAGGCTCAGTATGTTGCACAGATTGCCAAGCTGGAACGCGAGGAGGAGTGGCAATTCGTCCGCATCCGAACGGCATGGCTCGAGTCGGAAGACTATCCGACACTACTCGGCTCAGCCGATGTGGGCGTCTCGCTGCATTCGTCCTCTTCTGGCCTCGATCTGCCCATGAAGGTGGTCGATATGCTCGGATGCGGTCTGCCCGTCTGCGCGCTCGATTTTGCCTGTCTCGACGAGCTGGTGCAGGATCGATCCAACGGATTGATTTTCCGTGATGCAGAAGGCCTCGCACGCCAGTTGGAGAGTCTTCTGGCTAACCACCCTTCGCCCAATTGGCTCAGCTGTGGTCCAGGCATGCAGGAGCCCTTTGAACGTCTCCGCGAGGGTTCACGACCGGCTACGCCTCTGTTCAGTGGAGCTGCGGGCTCCATTCCCACGCCGGTGCCCATGTCGCCAAACCCAAGCATGACTCTGCTTCACAGTCCCATCCTTGGTGCGACCAACGGCATGTTTGCCCAGAGAAGTCGTACTTCAACCTGGGCCGGAAATTGGAAATCGGTGGTGCGGCCTCTAATTGACGGAGCCGACGATGAAGATGGTCAAGAGGCCGGGGGCTCTGGCAAGAGCAGCATTCCGGGATCGCCGTCTCGTACAGCCGGCCGTGCAGCCACATCGGCGCTCAAACTCTCGTCACCCGGCGGCATGCTGCAGCGCCGAACCAAGCGAGGGTCGCGCCATGCCCACCACGGCGAGACGAGCACGGATGACAGTGAGCGTGAGGCGTTCCTTGCCTCGAGTCCCACCGAACTTAGCTATGATCAAGAATCTGATGGAACCAGCCACACCCAGGCAGAACAGCTCAGTTCGACAATACCACACGCAGCTGCAACCGGATATCAGCTCTCTCCAATGCCTCCGCACGGCTCAGATAACGAAGCGGATGGAGACACCAACGAGAGCAACGAGCTGCAACGACGATCAAGTCGTCTCCGGCAGCGAAAGAGCCTTAGTCAGCGAGCGGCAACTGTGGACAGCATCTTGTCCAGCACCAAGCTCGACTCCAGCATCAACGACTCGCCCATCTCAGCAGACCCGACAATCCCGCACATCCAGGTCTCTCACCATCACATGTCATAGATCGTCCACCGAAAACACCTATATAATCAGAGCATAGAAGTAGCCATGCTGTTGCCACATTTCTGATTGATGTTTGCAAGCGACTTGGCAGTGCTAGCTGCACTTGTGGTCGCAAGTATTCTGCATACTCAACCAAAATGTTGTAAACATTAATATTGTCGTCGAAAATGGTGTGAAAAATGCGCCCAAAAAACGACACCAACAGGATTTGAACCTGTGCTCCCAGAGGGAATGGCATATGTTTTTGGTGAGTAGAAGAATTCACTCTCGAGCTGATAAAAGTTCGAGTGCCACGCGATAACCACTCCGCCATAGTGCCCGTATGTGTTAGATTAGTTACAGTATGCATAATATACTATATGATCATATCCGCCGCTGTGCTGCCGTTCTTTCCTCCACAGACCCTGAAATAAGATGCGCGCCTTCCAACTCCGCGGGCCCACATAATCCTCGCACCATTTGCCGTGGCACGGTTCCCGGAAGCTCTGTGGCCGCAACTCGCCACACGACCCTGGCAATCCTCACACCTTCTGGAACTGACTCCCGCCCTTCATTTGTCACGTTGGATGGCTTCCCACGATCCTCTGTAAGAGAGCATGGTCTCGACAGCATCTGTATCATCTCGAAGGTTGCTTGGCAGTGCGCTGGCTGGTCCATCCCGCTCAGCTGGTCTGACAGCTCCGCGCGCCAGCCCTGGCGTTCTGTCTCGAGCCTCATTCTGCACCCACCCTGCCAAACGCAATCGGAGCGCTGCGGACCTCGCACAATCAGCCGATACCAATCGCAATGATGCCACCGCGTCGTCGCCCGAGCCGAATGATCGCCTCACCGGTGCCGATAAGCTGCTGCAGGACGCATTGCGCCTCGAAGCCGAAGAGGAGGCAGCTTTGGATCGACGGTCACGAGCCCAGGATCCAAACGATCCAGTCTGGACCGGCGAGGAGCGTGTTCAAGATACGGTGCTGCGCATGGTCATGGACAAATACAAGCCGCTACGTATCAAGACCGACGATGGGGTGGATCCAGCTGATCAGAAGCTCAAGTCGGGCATCCAACAGCCATCGGCCCCAGGCGGATCGTCCTCTGACGCGCCGTGGTCGACGATCACCGGCAATGCAGGGGATGCTCCAGAGCACGAGGACGGCAGGAGGCTGCCAAAGACGCCGGATCAGAAGCCGTGGCGAGCAGTCTACGTACGGCCCTCGCACCTGCTAGGTGCCGGCAGCGAAGATACACCCAGCGTCTACTATGGCCAGTTTCTCAAGAGCTCACATTCTGCAGCTGCAGCGTCTACACCGGGTTCCGACATACGTGCCAAGCTCAAGTCGGCGGGCGTCAACGTCGCGGCACTCCCGCTCGACAATCCAAAGGCCATGCAGCAGCTGCGACAGGGTGTCAAGGCGGCCGAGCGACGCGGCAAGCTGCTCCGCGCTCGGGACTCGGTGATAGACTACCAGCTTGCCAAGCCGATGACCGTGGCAAGCCCGACAGAAGATCCGAGCAACGATCCGAACCTTCAGCTTCAGCTCGGTCAGGCACGAGGCTGGGCTAGTGTCGTCGAAGAGCGGATCAAGGCTGCCCAGGACGCCGGCCTTTTCCGGGAAAACAAGCTGCGTGGCCAACCGATCAAGCGGGACATCGAGGAGCGAAACCCTTTCCTTGGCCGCGAAGAGTACTTTATGAACCGCATTGTCAAGCGACAGGGCGCAGCGCCGCCTTGGGTTGAGCTCAACATGGAGCTGGAGGAGGAGCTGCGCAGTTGGCGAGATCGTATGGTTGATGGCTGGGTTCGAAGAGCCAGTCGCATGATTACCACCTCGACCACACTGCGTGAGGGAATGGACCCGCTTCCGCCCGCTGCGGCTGACGGGCCCAATGCTGTACCTACGGACGGCAGCGTGACTCAGGCGGATGCTGCACAGGATGGAGCTGGGATGGACCCGACTATCGACCCAACCGCCAAGGGAGCAGAGTCCAAGCTCGTGCTCGAGGTCCCGGCAGCTCGAACACCGGGCGAGCAGCGATTGATCGACGTCGCCACCCGCTACCGAGACCCAGAATGGGAGGTCCGCGAACAGTCATTCCACCAGCACGAGCTGAAACGACTCAACGACCTCATTCGCAAACATAACCATCTAGCACCCTTTACAGCACGCAAAGGCCTGCTGACGCTCGATCTCGAACTCAAGTCAATGTACACCCGCGCACTGCCCCTGCTCGTCAACCGCATCTCCAACATGCTTGAAGAACAGCGCAATCCGTCCGCAAAGCTCAAACGCGCATCCATCGGCTACGATCCCTCTCGCTACGAATCTGGACCCGTCACCTACGACATCTGGGGCCGAGAAATCAGGTCGTCGAGCTCCAGCGCTTCCTCGCAGTCGTCCTTTGCAGGCTGGTTCGGTAACGCCGTGGGCGACAAGTCCGATAACGCAAGCTCCAACTCCGATGGGAGGTACATGGAAAGCGGATATGGAGCCGGTAAGAGACGCCGCAGCAACCAGAGCCAGGGCCTTGGTCTGCTCGTAGCCATCCGCAAGAGCGTCGAGTGGGCTCGCGAACGGATTGGTGTCTAGACCTGCGTTGTCTGTGGTCGGTGCGTCTCCATAGTACGATTGCAGCTATCGATGTCGTCTGCCAAGTGTATTGCAACATCCGATGTCGTCTTATATCAATAGAAGTCTCCACTCAAATTACGCCGTTGCTTTGCTTCAGGTGCCGTCTGAAAGGTTCTGTTCGTCGGTCATGCTTGTGGGCGAGATTTTGGGATGCTTGAAATACAGCTGGTATTGAGAAGAGAGTGAAACGAGATGATTAGGAGAAACAAGAGCTGCGATGCCCGCAATCAGGCGCGCCAAAGCAAGAAAGCCATCTGGCCGAGGTCTGCATAGTCTCGTCGTCACACGTGAGGTGAGCAGGAGGTCAGTTAGATGCGCTGGTTTGAATGCCAAGGAGGTGATCTGACGAGGCTTACAGAAGTAGATGAAATGCTTGGTCTCTGCAATGCGAAGCGTTCAGAGTGTCAGAAGGAGCGGCAAGAAAGAGATATGAGCGGGTGAGCGCTGATTCCGACCTCGGATAGTGCGAGAGGCAGAAGCGAAGAAAGAGGTAGACTGACCATGGGTGACGTAGCTGCCATAACGTTGGCCCACGACGGCGTGCCAGGTGGGGCCAAACTTTTGGTCCATGGTGCGCTTGACGTGACCGGCCATGTCCTTTTCGACGGTAAACTTTTCGAGTGCCTCGATGGCGATGTCGATAGTCTGTTGCTGCATGTCTTCGGCCATGTCGACGTTCTTGATGACGGGTTTGAGGTCGCGGACGCTACCGGTGGTTCCGGCGGCGTTGGTGTCCGGCGCCGGTGACGAGGTCTGTTCTGTCGACATTGTATGTTGTGGAAAAAGATAAAGGAACAGGGTAAGATGGCGAGCAAGACAAGAGCAATGTAGAAAGGAGAAGAGAAGATCGACACTTTAAACCTTGCGGCTTGCATGCTCGACTTGCTTGCTTGCTGCTGACTTTGCTCGCAAATTACGGCTTCTAGAAAAGACCAACACCACCACGCCCAGCCACGCAGTGCATCACGCTCGCAACTTCGGACACTCGCCGAAGAAACACCACTCAATAACGCTCATCATTAATCCAAGGCGCGCGCCGGCGCCTCCGACACCCCCGTCCGGCTCAGTCACGTTTAATGGTCTAACAGCTACTCTCGTTGAGAGCAATTTCGCACCAATCCGTCTGTGATTCCTCCACCCGGCTCGACTCTTGTGCGGTCCGGGCTGCTGGCGTCTGCGCCTGAACCCTGTCTGCATATCGTACTGTAAAGTACTGTACTGTGCACCGCTTTAACGGCCAGGGTCTAATTTTGCCACCCTGCTGCGCGCTCAGCTCGTTGCCCCGCAAAGCTTGAGCCTTGTGCACTTTCCAAACACAGTGACAGCCACGGCAGTACTACTGTATCTTTACCGCGACCACGAGGGCTATCATCACCTCCAATCCTGATCACCTACAACAATGATAGGTCGACCTTCTCCCGGTCGTCTTCGGGCGATTGGCAGAGGCGTCGTGATGCATTCGACCGGCGGTCGGCGAGCCTTGCATCATCGCGCCCTGCCCCCTCGCCCACGACCCTGTACCGCACCAACCTCGAGATCCATTGCGATGTTCCACAAGGCCGCCCTTCGAAAAGCTGTCTCGAGCGCTGCCACCTTCTCCACGCATGCAACCCGTCTGCAATCGACGAGGGCTCTTCGAAGCTGGTTCAGCATCCTGGGCTCTTCGCTTCGTAGCCTGCGTGCCAACACTAGTATCGCCATCCCGCGTTCGCTGCTCTCGTCGTGGACAAAGTCCCTGCCGCAGCTCCGCTCGTCGTCTCCGTTTGTCCGCGGTGCCCTCGATGCATTCCGAGCCACTTCGGCCCGTCCATCTACGCAGACTGGCAAGACTGCATCGGCCCGCTTCACGTCGCCCTTCGTTACCTTTAGTCAGGGCGTCCGTTCCGGACTGGGCTCGCGACCAGCATGCGGCCCACTGACGCTTTCTCCGTTGCGGGGCGGAACAGGTCTGCAGACTGCTCGGCAATTCTCGAGCGGTGGCGCCAGAATCTTTGACAATTTGGTGGTCAATGCCCCCCTCGCTCTGCGTCTAGCCGCCGACCAGGCAGATGAAAAAGCGAATCTTTCCCAGCGCAAGCCTGCGATGCGCCGTCGTGCCGTCGCTGGTGTCTCCGCCTCAGGTCCCCGTCGCACCGGCGCAACCTTTTCTAGCGCCAACCTTGCTCGCAACGCCGCCAAGTTTGCCGCCACCAACAAGGCCGGTCAGCGCGCTTCTGCCAAGGTCGCGGTCATGGACGATACTGTCTCCGAGTCGCTGGATTCAATCGTCTGGCAGCAGGGTCACTGCTTCACCGCGGCCGAAAAGCAGAAGGCCGTCGAGACGGACCTATCCACCTACTTCCATCTCCCTACCATCGACATTGAGCATCCGACCACCTCCGCTGTCGAGACTATCATTACGCTCAAGATTCGTCTCTCGGACCCGCTGCACACGAGGCTGGGGGGTCGAAGCCCGACGGGTGCCCATCTGACGCGCGGTGGTCCAAGCCTGTTTGACGCCGAGTTCGTTCTGGATGCTCAGCAAGCCCTTGAGCACGAACATCTCAGATATCTACAGGCCAAGGCAGTCCTCCGTGTCCTCTGGGACAACGATCTGGTGCGCCAGGACACCGAGATGGACCTGTTCTCCGACCCCACCACCTGGACTGTGGTGCTCAACAACGTTCCGGCGAAGCGTCTCCTCTCGCTCCTCGATGCCAGT